CGCTTGGGCGAGGAACGCCACGCGTGCCAGGCGCGCCAGGCACCCCTGGGGCCCGAGCGTGCCAGGTACGCCTGGTGCGCCAGATGCGCCATGTGCTCCGCGTGCGCCAGGTGTGCCGCATACTCCAGCCGCATCAGGTCAGCCACGTTCGGGACACATGCATAAATGTGTCAGGGGCGCCTGCGCACGTGGCAGCACACATTGGGAAACATGTCGGCCCCCACCAGCCTTTTCGAAAACCAATACCCATCATTGTGTCTGGTGGGCCTGCGCACAGCAGGCCTCGCGCCACGACCCCCGTCGTTTTTGTTAAGAACCACTTGACAGTGATCGCGGGATGGCCGCGCATGATCCAGATTTAGCCGCGATGTGCATGCTATTTTTTGTCAGGGATGGTAGCGCTGCGCACAGCAGGGAATATGCTGACACCCCCGCCGTCCTTGTAAAAACAATGCAAAGTGCTCGCGGGCCTCACGAACATGACTCAAGACTTTGCCCCAAAGTGTACTTTGCATTTTTTTGACAGGGATAGTGGGGGGGCCGCATCGGGTTGGCCGTGCATGCTCCAAATATGGAGGCAGAGTGCGGCTTGTTTTGTTTAGTGACAGGGGTGATGGGGGGCAGGCCCGCATGGAGTCGGCATGGTTCCGGGCTGGCCGCCGGCCGGGTGGGGGAGGGAGTCTATATTAATAAGGAACAGTGGTCAAGACACCCCCTAGATTGGCAAGCAGTCTAGCTCACTCCCATCCGCCATCCCAACACATAAGTAAGACCCGTGCCTGAGCATTTTCAGCGGTCGCCTTTGGATGGACAGCTACTGGGAACCAAAGCCGACCCCAGATGCGCGACGCTTGGGCGAGGTGCCCCACGCGTGCCAGGCGCGCCAGGGACCCCTGGGGCCCGAGCGTGCCAGGTACGCCTGGTGCGCCAGATGCGCCATGTGCTCCGCGTGCGCCAGGTGTGCCGCATACTCCAGCCGCATCAGGTCAGCCACGTTCGGGACACATGCAGAAATGTGTCAGGTGTGCTTGCGCACGTGACAGCACACATTGGGAAACATGTCGGCCCCCGCCAGCCTTTTCGAAAACCAATACCCATCATTGTGTCTGGTGGGCCTGCGCACAGCAGGCCTCGCGCCACGACCCCCGCGGTCCCTGTCAAAAGCCACTTGACAGTGATTGCGGGATGGCCGCGCATGATCCAGCTTTAGCCGCGAGATGCATTTTGTATTGTTTTGTGTTAGGGATAGTAGCCCTGCGCACAGCAAGTAATATGCTGACACCCCCGCCGATCTCGCGGGCCTCACGAAGATGACCCAAGACTTTGCCCCAAAGTGTAGTTTGTATCGTCTGTTTGACAAGGATGGTGGGGGGGGGCCGCATCGGGTTGGCCGCGCATGCTCGGAATGTGGCAGAGTGCGTTTTGTATTGTTTTTGTTTGACAGGGATGGTGGGGGTAGTGAGCATGGTGTCCTCATGGTTCCTGGTTGGCTGCCTGTCGCCTGGGGGATGGGGTGTATATGAATAGGGAACAGTGATAAACCCGTCCCCGGAGGGGAAGAAAAGGGGTTGGAAGAGGAAACGCCCTAAACCACCCACGCCCGAAAGTGGGATTTGTCAGGGATGACGGGGGGAGCGATACCGGATGGGCTGGGATGGCATGGGTTCAGATAGAATTTCAACGATGGGGTAGCGTCGCATGTAAGTTGTATTATGTCCACCAGGGGGAATGGTTAGGCCTGAGCTCGGGAGGGGAGGTATATTTTTGGGGGAGAAGAGAACCTACGTGGTAGAGGGCATAAGCTATGTCGTCCAAGCAGTGTGGTGTGAGCTGGACGTGCAACCTATGCGGCGAAAGCTGCGTGGCGCAAGACATTCAGTACAAGATGTGCGGCGCTGGCCACAGTCAGCGCAGTGCAAACACACCGACCACTTCGGGCGCAGGAGGGGCTCTGCTGGTCTCCAGGCCGTGCCTTCGATCTCTTGGTCGGGGGGCTTCCCTTCGTGGCCGAGGCCGTCCGTGCAGCCCCGCGCTCCTCCTTGGCATCGCTCGGACGTGTGCATTTCTCCTTCGGCGAGGACCATCGAGGCGCATCCTTGAGCATTTGGCGAAGAAGCCACGCACGGGACCGAACAAAAACACGGGGAATGGACGTCCGAGCGATGGCCAGTCCTCCGCGGCAGCGCGGCGATTGCACGCGGTGCAGGCTCGGCGCACGGAGCGCCCACGAGGCGGCGCCGGAGGCAGCGCGGCGCAGCCTCGGCGCGCCCACCCAGCGCACGGGGCTTGGCATCGCTCGGACGTGTGCATTGTTCTTTCGGCGAGGGCCATCGAGGCGCATCCTTGAGCATGTGGCGGAAACGCCACGCACGGGACCAAACAAAAAAAAAACAGGGAATGGACGGCCGAGCGATGGCCAGCCCTTACACGGCAGCGCGGCGACCGCGCGCGGTGCAGGCTCGGCGCACGGAGCGCCCCCGAGGCGGCGCCCACGAGGCAGCGCGGCGCAGCCTCGGCGGGCCAGTACATGGACATTGTATTCGAACCCTGTGGCCCTCCTCCTCCTCCTCCTCCTCCTCCTCCTCCTCCTCCTCCTCCTCCTCCTCCTCCTCCTCCTCCTCCTCCTCCTCCTCCTCCTCCTCCTCCCGTACATGGACATGATATTCGAACCCTGTGGCCCAAGATGCCCCCCCGAACCCCCGAAATTAATGTTGATGGCGTGGCGACGGGGGGGGCGTGAGTGGACAGAAATGTTCGAACCCCAAAGCACCGCGTTTACTGAGATCAACATTGATGTCGGGGGCGCGGGGGTGATTTAGAATCTCCCTCGAATGTGTAAGGGTTCGAATAGATTGTCCATGTACGGGCCCACCCAGCACACGGGGTGACCACGAGCACCCACGGGGCGGCGCGTGTCGGGAACGCGGGAAATTCTGGGCGGGCCCGTCCAACGCTCGAAGCATCGCAGGGTAGGGCGCAGGAGTGCAAGCACGGCATGGAGGAGCGGTAATGACACAGGTGCCACCGACTGTGTTGCAACTGGTCTATACCCCACGTGAGGGTTGGGCATTTGGGCATGACATCATCACGGACGAGCTCACAGTCGGAGAAGGTGAGCTGATGATCCGCACAGAAAGTGCGCGGGGAGGAAGGAGGAGAGTCGTGGAGTAGAAGGAGGGAGGAGGGAGGAGGAAGGATCTGTTCACCATCTCGCCCCTGTCTGCTAGCGCCCAGGTGGTCCGTCGCCCACCAACCGGGCGTTGAGAAACAATCCGATGTTGGGCACACACCCGCCCTTCTCTGCCAGCGGCGCCGGCATCCCCAGAGGAGAGATGAGGAGGAGGAGGAGGAGGAGGAGGAGGAGGAGGAGGAGGAAGGAGGCGGATGTGAGGGAGGAGGAGGAGGAGGAGGACGAGGAGGAGGAGGAGGAGGAAGGAGGCGGATGTGAGGGAAGAGGAGGAGGAGGAGGAGGAGGAGGAGGAGGGGGAGAAGCAGGAGGAGGAGGGGGCAGGAACAGCGAGGGACCGACGGCGGGCCAGCCGCAGGTGCCGCCCTGCTCTTCCGCTGCAGCGCGCGGAGTGCCAACAGCCTGTTGCGCTCTCACGACACTGTTCACCACCCACCAAACCACCCCAACCCAACCCGAAGGCTCAGATTTACCCTCGATTTCTACTGGGGGGGGTCCGGGAACATCGAAAAAACACATATGGAGCCCATACCCCCCCAACCCGAAATTCGGGTCTTCGGGTTGGGTTGGGGTGGTTTGGTAGGTAGTCAACTGTGGCTGCACCTGCTGAGGAGCAAACAGTGGCAAGAACGTAAACTGTGGGAGATCTGCGTGGATTTGTCGCCTCGTCGCGTGGGCTCCCCTGGCGGCGCCGCGGGCGCCGCCCCTGGCGCGCTCCGCGCGCCAGGGAGAGGACCCAGCGCCGATCCAGGAAGTCCGCGCGGCCCTCCAAAAAGACGATGGCCATGCCATGTCTTGTCCCCCTGAACGAGGAGGGGGCGAAGAGGAGGAGGAGGAGGAAGGACGCGGGGCGCTGTCTCTCCAAAACGAGGACCCACCACCACAGGATGGCTGGGGAGGGGAAACTGTTCCCCAAACAATGCTTGCACTTAGGTGATCGTTTTCGTATTCATTGTTTTGCCGATCGGCGCGGGCCCTCGCACCCCCCCCTCCCCCACCCCAAATGGAGTAGATCATGGCTGTTGTTGGCGCCATAGGACGCACTGTTGCAAACAGTCGCGTGAAGCGGTCGGGAGCCAGACCCCACCTCCCACGCACCCCATTCCTCACGAGACCGTAACGTCGAATAAGAAAACGCTCACTGCTAGGAGGAGGGGGCGAGGAGGTCCAACGCCTCTGGCGTCTGCCATCAGAGCTCCCCGAGGCTGCCCTCTCCCATGTTGCGCCTGCCATGGCTTCACGTGGTGAGGAGGGAGGACCCGATATGAGGCCTAAAGAAACGCGGATTTCCAGGAAACGATGTGGAAATGGACTGGGGGGCCTACCGAGCACGCGGGAGCGGCGCTCGGGCCGGCGGTGTGGCGCCCCGCTGCGGGGGCGGGGCGGCCGTCTCCCGGCTCTGCCCAAGGGAGAAGGAGATTTGCGAAGGGCAAGGGGGAGAAGGAGGTCTAGGCTTAAGTCGGGCCTGTCCCCCTACAGGGGGTTTTCGACGACAAATAAAAGATACCCCCCAAAATAGTCCAAAAATAGTCTGGGGACTATTTTTTGAGTATTTCTTTACCTGTTTGGGACATGTTTGGGGTATTTTTTATTGTTCGTCGAGAATCCCCCTGTAGGGGGACAGGCAGGACATAAGTCTAGGCCTCCTGGATGGGGTCGGAGTAGATGCGCCTCATCCAGGACCTCATCTAGGAGGCCTCCAGAAGCGGGAGGAGGAGACCGAAGGGCGAGGAATTGCGGAGGCGGGGAAAGAAGAGAGGAGGGGATGCGGAGGCTGAGGAAGAGGAATGGCGATGGGGAAAGGGCCGTGGAGGCGTGGACGGTGGACGACGAGTTTGCTGCCCCCCCCCGCCTCAACCAGGACGCGGGTGACCCGCTGGGCGCTGGGGTCGCATGGGTCTGCTGCGGGCTGGCCAAACTCGGCCCTAGACGATCCCTGAGATCCAGGCGTTGCAATTGCTCCTCAAGCCAGTCCTTGGGAGGGGCTGAAGGTACCCCCAGCTTTCCGCTCAATTTTGGAGCCCCTGGGGCTTTCTGGGCCTCGTGAGGGGTCATTTGGAGACCGTGGGGGCCTCCTTGGAAATCCTGGGGGCACCTTGGGCCAGGGGCACTTCTAGCAACGACCGAATTCCAGTCGAGGGGCTCCAGTCGAGATGTGTTGCAATCTTGTTTTGTTCGCAACGTCGGATCTCAGAGGTCGAAACGGGTACGGAAAGAATGCAGACAAAGACCAGCAACGGTTCCTATCCATTCTGAGCAGAATGCGTTGTGGGGTGGTTCCGCGTCGCGTTCCCGACAGTGGCCGCAGCTGGTGTTGGGCAACGTCTGCTGGCTGTTGGGTGTTACATTCCTTTTTTCGTACCCATTTCGGGCGTGCGAATCCACTCGGCTCGGGGGCAAGACGGGGGGGATTTCGTTAGCGGGCGGGGGGCGGCATAAAATACAGAGGAAACCCATGCCAAGAAGCAGCTTGCTTGCCTCCAGGGTGCCCTGGGTTTCTTGGGTTTTGATGGTCTTGCTCGTTGAAAGCGTGACGTTCCCACACCAAGAATCAATAGACGTCCTGGGGTCTCAGGATTAAGTTTCTTGTGGAAGGTTTCTTGTAGTCGAGCTCCTACTGTAAGGTGTCCGCCATCGGGGACGGTCGTCGCAGGGCGGCCGGATGGTTTTGATGCTTTGACGTGCCACCGGGGTACGGGCTCTAGGTCTTCCAGCCGCCCGAGGGCAGGCGTCCACGACGCAAGAAAGAAAAGTGTACATTGTCCTTCTCCTCCTCATCAGCATCATCATTATCATCATCATGATCATCATCATCATCGTCATCATCATCATCAGCAGCATCATCAGCATCATCATCATCAGCATCATCATCATCATCATCATCCTCCTTCCTCCTTCCTCCTTCCTCCTTGCTCCTTGCTCCTTGCTCCTTCCTCATTCCGCCTCCCTCCTTCCTCCTTTCTCCTCCTTCCTCCTTCCTCCGTCCTCCGTCCTCCTCCTCCTCCTCCTCCTGCTCCGCCTCCTCCTCCGCCTCCTCCTCCTCCTCCTCCCCCTCCTCCTCCTCCTCATCATCACCCTTGCTTCTTCCTCCGTCCTCCTTCCTCCTCCTTGCTCGTTGCTCCTTCCTCCTTCCTCCTCCTCCTCCTCCTCCTCCTCCTGCTCCGCCTCCTCCTCCTCCTCCTCCTCCTCCTCACCATCATCATCATCATCAGCATCATCATCATCAGCATCATCATCATCATCAGTATCATCATCCTCATCATCATCATCATCAGCAGCAGCAGCATCAGCAGCAGCAGCATGATCATCATCATCATCATCATCATCATCATCATCATCATCATCATCATCATCATCATCATCATCATCATCAGTATCAGTATCATTATCATCATCCTTCCTCCTTGCTCCTTCCTCATTCCTCATTCCTCCTCCTCCTCCTCCTTCCTCGTTCCTCATTCCTCCTCCTCCTGCTCCGCGTCCTCCTTCTTCGCCTCCCCCTCCTCCTTCTCATTATCATCATCATCATCATCATCATCATCATCATCATCATCATCATCATCATCAGCATCATCGTCAGCATCCTCTTCATCATCCTTCCTCCTTGCTCCTTCCTCATTCCGCCTTCCTCCTTCCTCCCTCCTCCTCCTTCCTCCTTCCTCCTATCTCCGTCCTTCTCCTTCTCCGCCTCCTCCTCCTCCTTCTCCTCCTCCTCTGCCTCCTCCTCCTCCCCCATTCCCCTCCTCCTCCTCCTCCCTCCTCCCTCCTCCTCCTCCTCCTCCTCCTCCTCCTCCTCATGCGGGGGGGGGGGGGGGAGAGAGAGAGAGAGAGAGAGAAAGAGAAAAAAAAAGGAAAAAGAGAGAGAGAGAGGGAAAGAGAGGAAATTACCCTGTGACGTACCCAACCCTTTCTATGCATATGGCGACTATATCCCGGATCACTCAATGCTGACTGGCATTCTGAAGGACCCGCAGTGCGCAAGAAGAGCACCCAGCAGAGATTCCAGAAGAGCGCAGCAAGAAGAGGAACGGCACATATACAAAAAGGAAACACAGGGACGTTGAAAGAAACGCGTATGACGCACCTCCGAATGAGCCACGTGGGACGTACCTCCGCTGGGCCTCCCAGGAGCCCACGAAAGTGGCGACAGTTGCGCCGATCGCAAGCCCCCCAGTGGGCGGCGAGCTACCGAGGTGATCAGCGTGGGACCCACCTCCGCTGGGCCTCCCAGGTGCCCACGGAAGCGGCAACAGTTGCGAAGATCGCCGTCCCCCCAGGGCACCGCGAGGTCCCGAGGTGATTCGCGTGGGACTCATTCTCGCTGGGCCTCCCAGGAGCCCACGAAAGTGGCCACGGTGGCACAGATCGCAAGCCCCCCAGGGGGCAGCGAGGTCCCGAGGTGATCCGCGTGGGACCCACCTCCGCTGGGCCTCCCAGGAGCCCACGAAAGTGGCGACAGCTTGCGCAGATCGCAAGCCCCCCAGGGGGCGGCGAGGTCCCGAAGTGATCCGCGTTGGACCCACCTCCGACCCCCCTCGACGCTCTCGAGGCACCCACCTCCGCTGGGCCTCCCAGGAGCCCACGAAAGTGGCGACAGTTGCGCAGATCGCAAGCCCCCAGGGGGCGGCGAGGTCCGAGGTGATCCGCGTGGGACCCACCTCCGCTGGGCCTCCCAGGAGCCCACGAAAGTGGCGACAGTTGCGCAGATCGCAAGCCTCCCAGGGGGCGGCGAGGTCCGAGGTGATCCGCGTGGGACCCACCCCATGGGCCTCCCAGGGCCCACGAAAGTGGCGACAGCTGTGCAGACCGCAGCCCCCAGGCACCGCGAGGTCTCGAGGTGATCCGCGTGGAACCCACCTCCGCTGGGCCTCCCAGGAGCCCACGAAAGTGGCGACGGTTGCGCAGATCGCAGCCCGCAGGGCACCGCGAGGTCTCGAGGTGATCCGCGTGGGACCCACCTCCGCTGGGCCTCCCAGGAGCCCACGAAAGTGGCGACAGTTGCGCAGATCGCAGCCCCCAGGGCACCGCGAGGTCTCGAGGTGATCCGCGTGGGACCCACCTCCGCTGGGCCTCCCAGGAGCCCACGAAAGTGGCGACAGTTGCGCAGATCGCAGCCCCCAGGGGACGGCGAGGTCTCGAGGTGATCGCGTGGGGCCCACCTCCGCTGGGCCCCCCAGGAGCCCACGAAAGTGGCGACACTTGCGCAGATCGCAGCCCCCAGGGCACCGCGAGGTCTCGAGGTGATCCGCGTGGGACCCACCTCCGCTGGGCCTCCCAGGAGCCCACGAAAGTGGCGACAGTTGCGCAGATCGCAGCCCCCAGGGCACGGCGAGGTCTCGAGGTGATCCGCGTGGGACCCACCTCCGCTGGGCCTCCCAGGAGCCCACGAACGTGGCGACAGCTGCGCAGATCGCAAGCCCCCAGGGGGCGGCGAGCTACCGAGGTGATCCGCGTGGGACCCACCTCCGCTGGGCCTCCCAGGAGCCAACGAAAGTGGCGACGGTTGCGGCGATCGCAGCCCCCAGGGCGAGGTGGCCCGCGTGGGACCCACCTCCGTTGGGCCCCCCAGGAGCCCACGAAAGTGGCGACGGTTGCGCAGATCGCAGCCCCCCAGGGGGCGGCGAGCTACCGAGGTGATCCGCGTGGGACCCACCTCCGCTGGGCCTCCCAGGAGCCCACGAAAGTGGCGACGGTTGCGAAGATCGCAAGCCCCCCAGGGGGCGGCGAGCTACCGAGGCGATCCGCGTGGGACACACCTCCGCTGGGCCTCCCAGGAGCCCACGAAAGTGGCGACAGCTGCGCAGATCGCAAGCCCCCCAGGGGGCGGCGAGGTCCCGAAGTGATCCGCGTTGGACCCACCTCCGATGGGCCTCCCAGGAGCCCACGAAAGTGGCGACACTTGCGCAGATCGCAGCCCCCAGGGCACCGCGAGGTCTCGAGGTGATCCGCGTGGGACCCACCTCCGCTGGGCCTCCCAGGAGCCCACGAAAGTGGCGACAGTTGCGCAGATCGCAAGCCTCCCAGGGGGCGGCGAGGTCCCGAGGTGATCCGCGTGGGACGTACCCCCGCTGGGCCTCCCAGGAGCCCACGACAGAGGCGACAGTTGCGCAGATCGCAAGCCCCCCAGTGGGCGGCGAGCTACCGAGGTGATCAGCGTGGGACCCACCTCCGCTGGGCCTCCCAGGAGCCCACGAAAGTGGCGACAATTGCGCAGATCGCAAGCCCCCCAGTGGGCGGCGAGCTACCGAGGTGATCCGCGTGGGACCCACCTCCGCTGGGCCTCCCAGGAGCCCACGAAAGTGGCGACAATTGCGCAGATCGCAAGCCCCTCAGGGGGCTGCGAGCTACCGAGGTGGTCCGCGCGGGACCTACCTCCGCTTGGCCTCCCCCAGGAGCCCACGAAAGTGGCGACAGTTGCGCAGATCGCAAGCCCCCCAGGGGGCGGCGAGCTACCGAGGTGATCCGCGTGGGACCCACCTCCGCTGGGCCTCCCAGGAGCCCACGAAAGTGGCGACAGTTGCGCAGATCGCAAGCCCCCCAGCGGGCGGCGAGTTACCGAGGTGATCAACGTAGGACCCACCTCCGCTGGGCCTCCCAGGAGCCCACGAAAGTGGCGACACTTGCGCAGATCGCAAGCCCCCCAGGAGGCGGCGAGCTACCGAGGTGATCCGCGTGGGACCCACCTCCGCTGGGCCTCCCCCAGGAGCCCACGAAAGTGGCGACGGTTGCGCAGATCGCAAGCCCCCCAGCGGGCGGCGAGCTACCGAGGTGATCAACGTGGGACCCACCTCCGTTGGGCCTCCCAGGAGCCCACGACAGTGGCGACAGTTGCGCAGATCGCAAGCCTCCCAGGGAGCGGCGAGCTACCGAGGTGATCCGCGTGGGATCCACCTCCGCTGGGCCTCCCAGGAGCCCACGAAAGTGAGGACGGTTGCGCAGATCGCAAGCCCGAGGGCACGAGAGAAGGGAAGAGGGGAACAAAGGAGACAGGAGAGGAGGAGGGGATGAGGGGGGAGGAGGAGAAGGAGGACGGGGCGACCACACTGCTCTACTCAAAACGAGTACCCAACCATAGGAGGGTTGGGAAAAATAACGCAACGTGTGTATATATATATATATATGTATATATAGGTGCATGTACAGGTATGGAGAGATACGGAGGCTGCAAGACCAGTTCAATCGGCAGCGAGTAGAGCGAGCGCAATTCCATGTATGACGATTGTCTGCATGCAGAGCAATACTCTCCGCCGCGACGATCAACCTCAGAACGCATGTTCGATGGCAGCAATATCGAGAGCGAATACATCCATTCGTTGACCACACAATGTTACGAGTACGTGTCCTATGAACCTTCTGTGCTGGAGACGCCATTCGGGACCACACGCGATGCGGTGCAACTTCCCAGCATAGATTCAGCGTCGGAGCCTTGGCAGCGATTTCCAGGCGCGAACAATATCCGTCGGGATGCGTGCGCGCAGGTCTTGTTCAATCAGGTAATGTTTCGACCGTGACACCGGCAGCGGCGGTGACGATGGTGGCGGCAATTTGCACAAGTGTATGAAGTAAGACACGCTGCGAAACCAACGACGCCGACACCCATGGGCGGAAAACATGTTCATATCCACGGCCTCGCGGGCAGGGCCCCTGGGCCGCGACCCCACGGGATCCCGGGAGTCTGTTCTGGGAGGCCCCGCGCGGACCGTACCCACACGACCGCGTACCCACTGGACCACGCCATGGCAGGCATACCGCGAGGGCGTGGACGTTTGGATGTGTCTGCCGTTCGTGAGACGCGCCGACGGCGACAGCGTCACGGCACGACCGCGGCACGCACCTTACGGCGGCGAGGCGACACGCGGCAGCGGCCGCGGCGGCCCCGTCGCTTGCCCAGGTCGGCGGCCAGGGGCAGCTGATCGCCTACGCAGGCCACGGGAACATCCAGGGATGTCGGCCCCGCCGCCGCCGTCGGTCGAGGAAACTTCTCCTCCTCCTCCTCCTCCTCCTCCTCCTCCTCCTCCTCTTCCTCCTCCTCCTCCTCCTCCTCCTGAGGCACCGACGGCAATGGAGTCTTCAGACGTTGCCGCTTCCCCCAGGGATGCCCAGTCGGACCCCCTCTGGGGGCGTAAGACCAAAGCACAAAAGGGCCGAGCCCCCGCAGAGCAGGATGGGAGAAGAAGGACAGAACATAACATCACATCACAGCATATCCTCATTATTACCTCGAAGAAGGGAAGGGGAGAGAGAAAGACTACAGTGGCAGCAGCGTGGCTGTGGGCGTGGCGGCGCGACAAGCGTGAACGGAGTGGGGGCCCTGGGGTCCATCATGGAAGCGTCCTCCTCCCTTCGGGTCCCCTGGCCACTCGGGGCCAGTGCCCTGGGGGCGCCCTAGGGTCCCCCTCTATCGAGGCGCCCTCGATCGGCAAAGGAAGGGGTGGGGGGAGGTGCGATGGCGGCTACGAGGCGAGAAAACTCGGCCGCCTTGGTCGCTTCCGCCGAGCGTGAAGGAGGTCGGGGCCCTCCCCCAACGGTGGCGCGAGGCAGCACCAGCCACGCTCGCCAAGGCAGGTGGCAGAAGGCCTCACCCCCTGCACATAGGAGACCCCCCTAAGCAGCCACCATCCTCATGATTGGTACCCTCCCCCGCGAGGCAGAAGGAGGGTACCCAGATCATGGGAGTGGTGGCTGCTTGGGGGGGGGTCCACCGTGCGTGGGGAGGAGTTCTGCCACCCGTGGCGGTGGCGCGGGTGAGGGAGAGGAGCTGCCCTGGTGGCGGTGGAAGGCTAGAAGCGTGCCCCGGCTGGGCAGCCCTGGCGGCCGAGGGTGAGAGGTGCCTCGGTGGCGCCTCAGGGCAGGTGCCCTGGTGGCTCGCTGGCCCAGCCTGGGCAAGCCTGGCGGCTGAGAGGGAGGTGCCCCGGTGGCGGCCGCGGCCGCCCTGGCCCCTGCCAGGACGGCCCGCGGTAAGTCTGAGTCCCCTCCCGTCCATGTACGCCTGCCCCTACCCCACCACAAGAGGAGAGGTGCTTGAGGAGGTTCGATGGGAAGGGGGGGGGGAGACGGGGCTGCAAGAAGGTGAGCCGGTAGGGAGTGGAGGTTGGTAGACCCCTCGTACACTGTGGGCGAGAACCCCATTGGGGGCCCATGCGCTTCTTGTAGTAACGATCTGCACTCAAATGGGTGAGAAAGCCCCGTAGGGACCTACGCTGATCGTAGTCGGCACGACGTCGGCGGCTGTTGATGCAGCTGTCGAACTTGGAGCCGAACGGTCACGAGGTGGAACTTAGTTGCAGCAGGTCGAATACGGTCGGTGGGTCGGGTCTCGGCTGTCGATTCTGCTGGTGTTGTGGCTCAGTCATTGGGCAGAGGGGTCTGGTTGTTGATGAGCTCGGCCATCTTGACCATTGCCTCGATTGCGATTTCCCTTTGTAAAGTGGTGACAACGAATTGCGTCGGCGTGAATGTGGGCTGTTGTCGTATGGCTACCTTGATACCCATGAGGATATCTCTCTTTTGCTGTACCACATCTGCTGGCTCAGGGATCTCGTCGTGGATGTGATGAGTCGGGTAGTTCAGCATACTGGCCAGGCAGTGGTTTGCATAGTTAGCCAAATCCCTTTGCCGCTGGGTCATGTGGAAGGGGTGTGCGTCCCGCAGCTCGTCGGACGTGCGGTAGCTGTTGACAGTTCCTTCCAAATACGCCATGAGCTGGTCGTATTCGATACGGAGGTCTGCGTCCGTTCTTGTGTCCCTGTTGGTCTCCGCTGCGTCGGCCAGGTCGAGCATGTGGTCGAAGTAGTGAGCGATCCCCTCGTGGGTATGTTTCTTGGACATCACGCTCTCGCGGTTGTATACGTCACTGCTGATCATAACGGTCAAGCGCTCGATGATGTCGTCCATGCATGCGTTATGTGGTCCTCATCCTCGTTGTCATGCCTGGTGGCGGCGGGGGGGGGGTCGGCTTGCGAGCTCGGTGGCCGCGTCCCGTCCACGCTTGATGTCGTCGTCGGCCTTCGGGGTCGTTGCGCCCTGGTTCGGCGTAGTTTGGTTCGTTGCTGTCCCCTGGTTGTTCACGTTGTTTCGCAGGTTGGTCGGAGGTGGTGTTGATGGTACTTCCTGCCATGGCTGAGGGGTGTTCGGCTGCTGGCCCTCGCTGCCGCAAGCGGCGCCTGCTGTGGTAGATTGCAGAATGGGCGTAGGCGTCAGTATAGTTCGTGGAGCTTTGTAGCGTGGCAGGGGGTTCGCTACATGCGTTGGTGTCGCTGGTGTCATTGGTGTTACCGCCGTTGGTGCTTCGCGGTCTTTGGGACGGGCACGTACATTGTTGTTGATGTTTGGTCCCTCGTGGCTGGAGGACGCCGTGCCCCCCATGGTCGGGCTGGCCAACAGGTCGGGTAGAAGTGTAGTTACCGTTGGATGTTGCTGGCTGGTCCTTAAGGCTATCGCATTCGTATGGTCAATCGTTGTGGAGTGCGGCTGTGCTGCGTGGAGTGCGGCTGCGCTGCGTGGTCATCGTCTTCCCCCCCTTCCTCAACCTTCATCTTCCTCACCGTGTCCCTCATCCCTCCGCATCCTCATCCTCGTCCTCATCAACGTTCTCGCCCTCGTAACCATGAGCCCCGAGGTGTAAGCCCTGTTGTTGCGACGGCCATTGCTTCTCTCCTCCATCAGTTAGTTCACTTGCTGCACTGCTGGTGCACTACATCTGTTACCGCACGCGCGCGGGAACACCGCAGCATCTGGTGTCCAAAAAGGCGCTAGCATGAGAAAAAAGTAAGGATCCGTTTCGCACCAAGCTCCTCTCTCCCCTGACATCCGACGTCCTGATGTGTTCAATACAGAGCCCCTGAAGACTCCGTCCCGGAACTGTGTGTTTTGTCACAGATAGCTTCTTCATGCTCCGACGCCGGGATATGGTTCCCAGAAGCAGAACGTGTGGCAGCGTGTTCGCTTCGATGGTTCAGAGATGTTGGAGGAATCGAGCCCGCTGCGTGTTCCTCTCTCCCTCTCTCGTGTTGTCTCTCTCATTCTCTCTGTGTCTTTTTCTAGCGCCTCGCCCCCAGTCTTCTTCACCAAAGATTAGGCATGCTGCACCGCGAAGGGTTCACAGATGGCTTCACCATCGGCTCTGAGGTTTGTTTCGTTCCGTTTCGGCTCAGCCGTGCACGGAGCTTGCGCATGTTTCCAGCCATCTTTCCATTCCGCCTGCGAGCCTAGCAGGTCGCTGCCTACAGCAAAAGACTCTCCCCCAGCCTTGCTCCGCCAGGGAGTCCTTCCTGCTCGGATGAGGACAAATCCTTCCATAGATTTAAGCCACCACAAGAATATGTATACTTTGCATTCCTCCCAGAGGAGCTGCAGAGGTTCAAACGACAGAACCATGTTGTAAGCCGTTGTGAACCAACAACTCTCATCCAGTCTTGCTCCGCCGGGGCCCCCTTCCTGCTCGGAGGACGACACATCGCCCGCAGGAGCCTTCCCGCAACGTCCTGGAGTGGCCGCTGCGGTCTGCCACGGCCGCGGCGCCCGCTGCGTCTTGCGAGCCCGCTGGGAGCACAGGTGTTTTGCATTGTCAGATCGGGTGTGCTTCCATGTACTCACCTGTGAGTGTGGCCAACGTGTCGCTCATCGCAGTAGCTTAGCGTGTGAGTCTTTGGGCTGATACCGCCCCAACTGTACTGTACTGTACTGTACGACACCGAAAAATGCACAGGGAATGAACGTCCGACCGACGGCGAGGGTGATGCTACCCAGCTGCCCCTGGCAGTTCCGCCACCGCGCCAGCGCAACGTCCCGGGCGGCAGCTGCCCGAGGAAGCCAAAAGGGGGCTTGTTTGGGGGCCTCCTGGGGGCAGAAGGCCCGCATGCGGGGCTCGTGCTCCCGCTCTTGGGCCCCTCCTGGGGCTTTTCTGGGGCCCTCCCTGGGCGGTCGTGGGCGCCTCTGCGGCCGTCTTGGCGCCCTCTGGGGGCCCGTCTTGGGGCTTTTTTGGGGGCCTCTTGAGCATTCGGGAGCGCCTCGTGGGCCGTCTTGGGGGCCTCTTGGGCCGTCTACGTCGGAAGTTCGACCAGGTGAGAACCCGGAAAGCATCGAAACACCTAAGGACAATCAGTGACCTGTGGCTCCTTGGGGCTCTCTTGGGATGCCCTCAACGGCCTCGTGGGCCGTCGTGAAGCCATCTTGGGCCGTCTTGAGGCCAACGTGGTCCGTCTTGGAGCGATATCGGGCCGTCTCGGAAGCATCTGGGCCACGGGAGCGCGAACTTGTCGTATTTTGTGAGGGCTTCAAGACTCGGGAAGGGAGGGGGGCCCTCAGAAAAGGCTTCACGCTTCGCGTATCCCCACCGGATTGTTGCATTGTTGCTTCGTTCTGACGGCGCGCGGCTGTACCGCTTGCGCTCGCGACCAAAAAGAAGTACCCCCACCGGCCCATTCGAAAACCCTTTGGACACCCGAGATGGGCACGGAAAGAATGGGCACTATGCCCAACAACAAATGTTGTCCCAAGCCAACAGCGGCCGCTGTTGGGCAGGCGGCCTTCTGTCTCGAATGGACACAGGCCGCGGCGGCGTGGACAGCGAATCCTGTTGAAAATGAACAGGAATTGTTGTTGGGCATCGTGCCCATTCTTTCAGTACCCATTTCGGGCGTCCAAATGAGAGTTGACGGGAAAAGAGACGACGAGGCACAGATAGTGAAGCAGAGCAGGCAAGCACTGTGGACAGAGAGATCTCCGGGAGCAAGGGGGTGACCTTGGAGGGCCTCTTCGGGCCATCCTTGGGGCCCGCGTGGGGACGAGGGAAGGATAAGGAGGAGGAGGAGGAGGACGCCGACGACGACGACGACGACGACTATCACCAGGACGACGAGGAAGAGGGAAAAAAGAACACGGAAGACGATGAGGGCAAGGATTTGGACGAGGAGGAGGAGGAGGA